GATTCCTCAGCACCACATAAGCAAAAAGAAAAAAGCCGGAAGTGGCGCTGTGGCTCAAGTGGTAGAGCACTAGCCTTGAGCTGAAGGGCTGGGGGACAGCATCCAGGCCCAGAGTTCAGGTCCCATGACCCCCACTCCCCCCCCAAAAAAAGAATAGCTATTTGAAAAAAATCCCTTAACACACTGTATTTTAGTAGGCTTTATAATTAAGTTTTAAGGTTTAGCAATTATCCTGCTTTCCCTAAAAAGAATGGCATAAAACACAGCTGTACATAATGACAAAGATTCATTAATGAAGCTTAATAAAAAACAATGAAACAATTACCTTCCCACTCAAACTCATTACTGTTTTCAGATGGGGTGTCTAAACCATCTAAGTCAATCTCCCCACTTTCATCCAAGTCATCTGACAACACAGAACCATCACTAGGATCCAGTGTTAGGCTAATGTCTGGAGCAGTTAGTTTCTTTCTCACTTTATTTCCATTAACTTCTGGGGAGCCTAGAATTGAAAAACAAAGGAAAAAAATGCTTGAGTTGCATAAGAGAAACATTTCAGCTACATAGTTCCTGAGAAAAACTTTAAATAACAAAACATTAGTAATTTACAAAATTTGGATTTGATCTGTTCTGTTTCTACATCATTGGTGAGAGATCAGTGAAGTAGCCATGTTTTTTTTTTAAAATAACAGAGGAAGAGTTTGTAGTCACAAGTCCAAATATTTAATATTGCTTACTATGTATCATGTTAGAGTGAGATTAGTCTATCACTAATAGCTAAAAACTGAATCTTCACTAGATTTCACATACTCAATCTTTGCTATGCACAAATATATTTACTAATTTCAATAATTGGAAAAGCTTTAGGGTTTGAGGTATGGCTCAGGTAATAAGAGTGCCAGCCAATGAGTTGAGAGCAACAGATACCAAGTTCAAGTCTTTTCTGTTACCAAGTAACAGTCTTTGTCTACCTCCTGCAAAACATTTCTAAAAACCAATCATTTTTTTATGTATATCTAAATTTCTCAAGCACTCCAAAACACTTAATGTGCACTTAATTTCTCCAAAAACTTGGGTGATTCTTTTTCTTGACAAAGAAATGTGTTCAAAATAACACAAAGTCCATCGAGAGAAAAGTGCTAAAGTACTTACCAGGCTGGCTCTCTGGTCCAGTTACACCTAGTATATCTGCTTCAATACTATCGTCTTCTGGTAAAGGGCTGGAAGACACAGGCATAAGTATCTTTAACACAGAAAGTTAAAAAAAAAAAAACTCAGACTGTTAAAACATGATTTATATATAACTCTATGTAACACATATACATATATAAATTGCTTAAAATCTTCTTCTTTTCTTTTTTTGTGCTGGTCCTAGGGCTTGAACTTAGGGCCCGAGTGCTGTCTCCAAGCATTTTGCTTAATGCTGGTACTCTATCACTTGAGCCACATCCACTTGTAGCTTTTTGGTGGTTAATTGGAGATAAGAATCTTATGGACATTTTTGCCAGGGCTGGCTCTGAACCTCAGTCCTCAGATCTCAGCCTCCTCCTGAGTAGCTAGGATTACAGGCATGAGCCACCATTGCCAGCTACAACTATAATTCTTATGCAAAAATCAGACTATAAATAAATTCCAATGCATCAATACAATGTGGTGCATGACACGGTGCATGCAGCTATTTTCAAATACAATGAAAGCGTGGTAACGGTGGCTATAGTTCTGAGTCTAGCACTCTACCACTATCACTGTTGTGTACTACATTGCCTCAAGCTCTCTCTCCAGCTGTCCATATTCCAACTGCTAAGGCACTTTACTGAGTGCTGGAAGTCTTCTGACCAAGATGAAATGGAACCATCACTTAAATATAAGATCTGCCTTTGGAAAGTGTCAAAGTGTCTTGCCAGAAGAAGAATAAGATCCTTATTTATTTGTTTACTAAGTTTTTTCTTGGAAAAAATCCACTCACTTAAAAAAATTTGTAACTAACAACTAAAGGGCCCATTCTAGGAGGTCTGACCCACAACTTTTTAAAAAATACCACATTAAGACATTGTTTTGTAACAAGGGGAAAACCTGAGATTTAAGAGATCAAAATGAATATAGACACTTGTAAGTAAACAATATGCAAGAGAATCATTCTGTTAAATGTTCATTTCTTTGTATCAAATGATCATTTATTAACATTACTTTTTTAAAAAGCCTAATATTCATCAAGTGTTAACTCAATACATTCTAAGGTTTTGTTCTAAATTTGTTTTCAATGAAAAGTATGCTCACATTGGAAAATCTTCATCTTGCCATTCTTCTTTCAATTCTACACCTTCCATCCTCAACCTAGATTCAATGTCAACTTCCAACTCCTGATAATTCAGAGAGCCAATATTCTGTTAAGGGAAGAAAAAAATGGCAGGAATTTAATTTCCAGTTCACTTATCTGACGAAAAGGCACAAGAATCTTATATCTTAATTTCTCTATCAGTCATAGAGCTTTTAGTTCAATGATGTAGTTATGAAATCAGTTTATCAAGCTGAAACTTTTTTCTTTCACAGAATGAGAAGACAACAAAATATAGGTAACATGAAATCTACTTGCAGTAAGGATATTGTTAGGTTAAAGTATTTGTTCACAACTGTATTCATACAGATTTATGTCTGGTTATGACTTAAAATGTATTTCATATTATGAGTTACATAGCAAATTGAAGTAGGAGCAAGATATTAAAAATAAACAGCATGGGGCTGGAAAGGTGGCTCAGTGGTAGAGTGCTTGCCCTGTATGCATGAGGCCCTGGGTTCGATTCCTCAGCACCACATAAGCAGGAAAAAAAAAGCCGGGAAGTGGCACTGTGGCTCAAGTGGTAGAGCGCTAGCCTTGAGCTGAAGAGCTGAGGGACAGCACCCAGGCCCAGAGTTCAGGCCCCATGACCGGACCGCCCCCCCAAAAAAAAAAAAAAGTTAAAAAAAATTATGTTCCAGAATAACAAAATTGCAGTGGAACTTCTAAATGTTAACATTTCATATAATAAACTTAATTCAAATCTCTGTTGAGAGTGAAGCCGTTCCTCTTGTTTGAATGTTTACTTACGTCTTAGAAGGAGGTTTTGAACATTCGGAAAAAATTGAAGAACCACTCTTTGGCATACAAAAAAAACAGATATAACTTTTCCTGATCAAAACATTGACTTAGGGGCTGGGAAGGTGGCTCAGTGGTAGAGCACTTGCCTTGTATGCTCGAGGCCCTGGGTTCGATTCCTCAGCACCACATAAGAAAAAAGCCGGAA